GAAGTGAAATAGTTCTGCAGTTTCGTTTCTGTAACATTCGACGATCTAAACTTGACTGAGAATACTAACGAACGGTAATGCTCTCTTATACAAAACGTAAAGAGAGTTCCAACCAAACAAGCTGTGTTACGTTAGAAACGTTTCTCTATGCGTTGCTTCTCCTCCTTCTGTCGTAGATCTCCACTCATAGACACGAAGATACTCTTTCAATGTGCTCACTCGCGGCACATTGTTCTCCTGCCCGGTTACACGAACATCACGATGTTCAAATAACGCGCTCCTTTCTTCTCGCGCTTATTCACGCGACTTGGTCGCGCAGGATGAACGCGGCTAATTACTCGCACAATACTACTTCACTTTACGTTTGCGAGTATGCACCTACGTACACATTAAGGATGCACGGTCTATGTAATTGATTAAATTTGTTTTTTGATTTAGAATGCATCGCGAAACTATCATACAGACTTGTCGAGGTTCCTTCGCGTAAAATGCATAATGTATCATGTATTTATAGATTACTTTCATTGCGATAAAAGGCTCCTGCAATGAACGTTCAAATATTTCCGTGAGCCACTATAAGTGTAACTAAAGAAAAAATATATAAATTTTTTTATATATAACGAAGACCTAACACTATTTATCTGAAATTACGGTCCTCCGGTACGTTTCGGCGCTTACATATGACTATTCAAAGTATTCCACATTCGTTCTGTCTTTATGTCATATTGATATTATGGTCTCATACTTTTCTTGCGCGAAGCGAGGATTTAATTGATTGATCACAATCTTTTTGTAAATGTCCAACATCTAATATTATTTATCCTGAAATATTACGGTCCTCCAGGTCCGAGATTTCATATGACAGTACAGTAACTTCGTCATTGATACAGTCAATATGTCCTATCGGATCAGAATGTCTCACATTATTCTATGCATAGGAGGCACCATCGTAAAGAAATTTTTTTGGTACATAAATATCAAATAATATTATTTATCTACCACGAAATATTG